TTTGTCTGCAGGAGAAAGGAAGGCCACGGCCCACCTGGGTGGTACAGGCCTGCACGAGGGTCTGTGAGGTCTGGCCCACCGTTAAGCACGGAGTCACTAGGCGATATAAGCCACGCTACGCTCAGGGGCTGTCCTCCCCGTTCAATTTTTCAGGCCCACTGTAATAGAGACAATTTGGCCGAAAAAGTATCAATTAAAGATAAGTCTATATATGAATATAGATATGTATCTTGTTTAATTTAATTCTGTTTTATTTTAATTGATTTTTTTTTAAATTTTTTTATCTCATTTTTTTTTACCCTTGTGTCTCACTTAGTGACGGCTAGGACAGTAAGTGCCGACCACTATGTAGACAGCGGAAAACAGGCAAGGCAAACAGCCATCCAATCTGTTGGCACTGGATATTTAAAAGGTACTGGTAAGTCACAGTCTGGAATATTACCAGATAAAATGGAGTGAGAGACTCAAGGTATTTTCCCTATGTCCACTAGGTAACCTGAGATGGTGCCTATTAAGCAGCTCAATGAAGATCTAAAGGAATGTAATTAGAACTCCTATTCCCCCCCCCACTTAGGGAGAATCACCAAATAAGTAAGTTACTTCGTGACTGAAAAGGCTGTAATTAGGACAAAGCAGTCAATTTAATGTGTGTGATCAGGCAGAGCTCAAAATGGCGGCCGGGACGATCTGATGAGAGATGAAACAAGCTGAGAGAAAAGATCCTCTCCTGCAAGTAATCTGGTAATAAGCTCTTTTAGTCAAACAGTTCACCTGCTGTTTTTTTGGGTAATTTACAGCTGACAATCAACAGTAACAAGGAAGTACTTGAGTAGTGTGAGGATCGAGCCTTCTAGAGGCTCAAAATGGCGCCCGCAGGTTGTTTGAATTGGTAATAAACCTAAGAAGGTGATTTCAGTTTTCAGCTGAAAATTAATAGTTTAAAGCTTCCAATTCACAGCGAAGATCCTGGGAGGGGGTGGGGGAGGTGGATTGTAATGAGGAGGCAGAAATCTACGATCAGCTGTCTGCCTCTGAAAAACTCACGGAGAAGGGAATTGATTAAGAGAGACGAAATGGTGCAGCACTGAGCTCAGAGCTGAACCAATCCCCCCCCCAAAGAAGGAAAAAAAAAGGATAGAGAAACCACGAATGGCAATAACTACCTTTCTGAATCTAAATTAGGAGCCAAATTCTCATGTGTCTTCAGGGCTGAGACCAAACGAAACTGGGGCATGGTCAGACCCTGCAGAGGCGTAGCAACTTTAATTGTTTGGTCTGATTGGGCTAGAAGACTAAATCAACCCATTCTTGGAGTCTACATTCCTCTACATGCTGGAGAAAGGTCAGTTTACATTCCAATTCCAAAGAAAGGCAATGTCAAAGAATGTTCAAACTATCGCACCATTGCACTCATTTCACATGCAAGTAAAGTTATGCTTAAAATCCTACAAGCTAGACTCCAGCAGTATGTGGATCGAGAACTACCAGAAGTACAGGCAGGATTTCGAAGAGGCAGAGGAACTAGAGATCAAATTGCCAACATACGCTGGATCATGGAGAAAGCTAGGGAGTTCCAGAAAAACATCTACTTCTGCTTCATTGACTATGCTAAAGCCTTTGATTGTGTGGATCACAACAAATTGTGGCAAGTTCTTAAAGAGATGGGAATACCAGACCATCTTATTTGTCTCTTGAGAAACCTATATGCGGGTCAAGAAGCAACAGTGAGAACTGGACACGGAACCACTGATTGGTTCAAAATTGGAAAAGGAGTCCGGCAAGGCTGTATACTGTCGCCCTGCCTATTTAACTTATATGCAGAGCACATCATGAGAAAGGCAGGGCTAGATGAATCAAAAGTTGGAATTAAGATTGCCAGGAGAAATATCAACAACCTAAGATATGCAGATGATACCACTCTAATGGCAGAAAGTGAAGAGGAACTAAAGAGCCTCTTGATGCGGGTGAAGAAGGAGAGTGCAAAAGTTGGCTTGAAACTTAACATTAAGAAAACCAAAATCATGGCATCCGGCCCTCTCAATTCCTGGCAAATAGATGGGGAAGAAATGGAGGTAGTGACAGATTTTATTTTTCTGGGCTCCAAGATCACCTCAGATGGGGACTGCAGCCAAGAAATTAAAAGACGCTTGCTCCTGGGGAGGAAAGCTATGGCAAATCTAGACAGCATACTAAAAAGCAGAGACATCACCCTGCCAACAAAAGTGCGTATAGTCCAGGCCATGGTTTTCCCAGTTGCAATGTATGGCTGTGAAAGTTGGACCATAAGAAAGGCTGAGCGCCAAAGAATTGAGGCCTTTGAACTATGGTGCTGGAGAAGACTCCTGCGAGTCCCTTGGACTGCAAGGCGTTCAAACCGGTCAGTCCTAGAAGAGATCAACCCCGACTGCTCTTTAGAAGGCCAGATCCTGAAGTTGAAACTCAAATACTTTGGCCACCTAATGAGAAGGAAGGACTCACTGGAGAAGGGACTAATGCTGGGAAAGATTGAGGGCAATAGAAGAAGGGGACGACAGAGAATGAGATGGCTGGATGGAGTCACTGAAGTAGTAGGTGTGAACTTAAATGGACTCCAGAAGATGGTAGAGGACAGGAAGACCTGGAGGAACATTGTCCATGGGGTTGCGATGGGTCGGACACAACTTCGCAATTAACAACAACAACAACAATTGGACCATGACATGTTAATATTGCCAGACTAACAGCAAAATAGTTTAGCAAGTATTAGCTTCATATATGCTACATTCTATTCTCATATGTCATGAGCCTGATTTTCATGTAAGTCTTTCAATAAACTGATCTCTGAATATGCCTGTTTTTAACAGCAAAAGTTTTTGATACAGTTTAGGCAGCTGTAGAGCAAGACAAAATGAAAGATAGCTTAGACAGCTAAAAAAACTAATAAGTTACACAGCTATTTCCTACAGAAAATAAGATTTGCATCAAGAAATCAAAAGTATCTTGGTCATTAAACAAACATCAGCACTACTTCTATTATTTCTTAGAGCTTCAGACATGTAACTGGGCAGGCTAGCAAAAGGACAAAACAATCTCAAAGAGGGAGAGATGTTGCAGCCATCTTTCTATGTTTATACTAGTTCCTAAGACCAGCCAAATATTTTGGATTGCATCATAGACTTAATTGAGTGTTCTGTATTATTCTGTATTTAAATTCTAAAGTTCATTGTATGCATTACAATGCCATATCTACTGCTAATACCTGGATTTTTAAAACCATGGTTTAGTGAACAAAACATTAAGGCTGATAAATGCTGGTTAATTGAAAAAGCCAAATAATACTAAAAGAACTCAGTATGTGCTTCTTTGATTATAGAAAGACTTTCAGCTGTACCAGTTATGTCACGCATTAGAATATGCTCAGAAAAATGGGAATCCCAGAACATCTCATTGTCCTCATAAAAAATACAGATCAGGAACTCACAGTATGAACAGAACTGGGCAAACAGATTGGTTCTTGGTTGGTAAAGGAATGTAACAGTCTGCATTTTCTCCCTCCCCCTTATTTCTTTAATCTGTATGCTGAATATATATTAAGGGCAGCTGGATTGGAAGAAGATAAGCATGGTTTTAAACTTTGAGGAAGAAACTTCAATAATCTGTATACTATCCTGATGATACTATTGTAATAGTACAATAGTGAAAATGTAAAAGATCCACAAACTCTACTGCTAAAAGTCAAGATGCACAGAGAAAAAAATGAGACAAAAATCAAATACAAAGAAGACCAAATTAATGGCAATAAATATAACAAACAGTCTTAGCATTGACAATAAAGATATCCAAGTAATAGATAGTTTCTGCCTTTTAGGATCAATTATCAACACTAAGGAAACAAGCAGTCAAGAAATATACTGCAGACTAGCACTTGGCAGAGTATCCATAAAAGCCATGGAAAAGATATTCAATTGCCATAATGTCAATATATATGAAGATCAGAATACTGCATACCATGGTATTCCTGATGACATTCTTTGGAAGTGAAAGTTGGATTTCAAAGAAGCAGTATAGAAAGAGTATTGATGCTTGGAAAAGTCTTCTGAGAATACCATGGACAACCAAGAAAACAAATAAATGGGTAATTTAACAAATCAATGCAGAGTTCTAACTTAAGGCAGAAATTACAAGGTTTAAATTACCCTATTTCTGGGACATTATGTGAAGCCTTAGCTCTCTGAAAAAGGTTCTAATGCTGGTTAAGGTGGAAGGAAAGAGAAGAGGATGACCAGCAGCAAGGTGGGTGGTCTCAGTTACAGTGGTGATGAGTACACTACTGGAAGACCAGATTAGGTACAGATTGTTATGGAGAAAATCTGTCTAGGTGGTTGCTGAGTCAGCTATGACTAGATGGCACATAATCAATCAATTAATGAACAAATCATAGAGATCAGATTATAAATCATCTTATACCATAACAGTTGAGTCTATACAGGTAGTCCTTGACTTACAACCATTTGTTTACCAACCATTCAAAGTTACAACAGTACTGAAAAAAGTGACCCATGACCGATCCTCATGCTTATGATTGTTGAGCATCCCAGTTGTCATATGATCAAAATTTGGGTGCTTGACGATCAACATGTATACAATGGTTGCAGCATCCTGGATGACATGATCACCATTTGCAATATTCCCAGCTGGATTCTGACAAGAAAATCAATGAGGGAAGATAGATTTGCTTAACGACTATGTGATTCACTTAACAACTTCAGTGTTCACTGAACAATCATGGCAAAAAGATCATAAAATTGGGCACCACACATTTAACCACCTAGCTTAGCAACAAAAATTCTGGACCCAATTATTATTATCAGTCAAGAACTACCTATATATCATGCTAAACTGAAGCTTTAGTATATATAGAATAGAATTATGCTGGAAATATAAATCTCTAAACAAAATATGCACTAGTGGTATATGAATTAAATAAGACACAATTACTGTAGGAATACTGACAATCTTACCGAACCATTCTTCTCACTCTGCTCCAGCTTTTCAGTTAGATGATCCAAATACAGATGTTCAGACACCTAAGTAAGGAATAATATACAGAGACACATATGTTAATAAGGCAGAAGAACCCTACTGTGTTATATTTTCATTTTTATTTGGATGTCTTATGATTAGTCAAGCAGAAATTAGAAATGTGAATAAAATAGGTACTTTACCACTGAAAAAGACTTTTGGCAATTTCATCATGGTTTTAACTTTTATTGTTGACATTTCCAGCCAGAATAAATGGAACTCTTTATTTTTCATATTTAGTTTCCTCTGAATATGCTGAAGGATTGCAAAAGGATTTTGAATGCAGAAGTATAATAAAATGACACAATTTGCCTCCTGCTTCCATTCCCTTATATTTTGGGAGAATAAAAATATACCAAACGCCAAGAAAATGAACAAATTCTCAAGCTATACCATATATCACTAGGCTTTCAGAAGTATATTATCCAATTCTGTAATGCCAGTTCAGTCAACAATTTTGTCAATGAACATGGTAAACACCCATCTTTCCAATGCTATTTTTTTAAATCTTTCAATTAAACATTTCACTAGGCTCGGCCAGAATAAACAGTACAAAACTGATAAGCTATCATCACAGAAAAGCCACAATTTAAAATTTCCAATACATGATAATTTACCAGTCTTAAAAATATTTAGAATAATGTGTAAAATTAAACAGGTTTTTTGGAGATGGAAGGATGGAGAAGGAGCAGCTCAAAACATCAATATACCTTTCATTTTCCTATAGAAACTAATTGAATTGTACCCTATGATACTGAAAGAAATTGCTATCTGCTGAAAACCTATTGTATAATTCTGTGATTATAATATTTGTCTCCTAGGGTTTTCTAAATGTTTTGCTTTCAATGTGTAATATTAAAGAGTTAACCTTTAACTGCAGTAACACAACCAAACACTTTCTGTACAGTTGGTAAGACTCTCACATTGCTGTATAGCAATTTTTTCAAATTAATTCAGTAAGCTTTGTGTCCTAAAAAAATAAAGTTTAACAAGGAACAAAGTAAGAGATAAATTTTATTAAAGAGACACATTATCTATTGTTCATTCTGTGGCTACAAATGAATTCTTGTATTCTACATTTCACTTTTCTTTTTCCATTCGTTTTTCTCTTTATCCACATCCTACATTCAGGATTAATTTATCCCCTAATCTAAAACAAATAATTTGAAAATTAGATTCTGGAAATGGGACAGAAAGAATCTTCAAAGCGCTAATTCAACAAGCATACATATTTTTGATGGTTCAGCTAAGTTTTTTAGACTCTTCCTTCTGGCTAGTTAAATTGCACAGTAATGTCATTTATAGCCATTATCAATATGCCATTGGGTAGAAAGGAAGTTCAGCAATAGCCAAGCTCTTGGGAAAACTGGAAGAGTCATTTAACAGATAATAAAAAGAGAAATGTTAGCTTTAAGCCAACATACCTCTTTCTATTGAAAACTATCCAATTCTTAGGAAAACAACAACAGTGACACATTCCATCTTCTTGAAAAGATACCTTAATAGTTAAGTTCTTAAATTTTACTGTGCAGTCACCTGAAATGTTAAAATTAAAATGTTAGAATTAAAAATGAAGAGTACATTGGGAGTAGGTTTGGGCAATTGGAACCTCCTTGGAACTCACTTCTATTTTGCCTGAACAATACAGCTGCCAGCTTGTCCAAGCAAAACAGAAACACGTTCTGACAGCATTCCAACTTTGAATGTACATGCCAGGAGGCTTCACACGAACTTGATAGTCCTGGAAGACTTTCCCCAGGCTTTCTTCTCAGTTTTGCTTCTCCAAACTGACAGGCAGTTTGTCCAGGTAGAACAAATCCTGTTTTACATGTTCAGGTTCAAGAAACAGGCAGTCCCCCTCAAATTTGTTCACAATTTCCAGGAGATCATGTTCCCCATACTCCTGAAACTCTTTCAAATCACTTTCTAGAAAAATTGCTCATGAAAAGTTTTTATATATCTGAAAACATTCCACACGAAACAATAAATTGCTGATCAGTTCCATGTGTTTTAGTCACATAATAAAATCCTTCTGACTTGAACAAAATTGAATCCAATTTCAAATGACAAATCATTTAGTACTCCAATACTAAAGCAATAAACAAAAATACCAATTCTATAAACAAATGCATAATAGAAATTTAACATAGAAGTGTACCGAATATGTGACCAACCACTGTTATTACAAATGATCAATATCTTATGTTATACAATAATATACGCTACCACCACGAAGGAATAAGAGAAATCTCTTCTGTACCAAATATACTATTATTCTAAAATATTAGAGTGAGAGAATTAAAAAAGAAAATAAGACAACAGTAAGAGGAAAAAGAAAAATAATAATAAAAGAGAAACAAAACAGAACAGAAACTTTGGAAATAATGAATCTGAAATTGATTTTCACGAATTTGCTTAAATAACAAGTGATGATACTGGATGTTCTTAAACTTAGAATATTCTTTTCTATACCCACTTTGCACCATCAGAAGAACAAGTTTTTTCCTCTTCTGTCTTTTATGTTATTGAACCAGAACATCTTTTAACAAAACCAGTACAGCAAAAGAGGTTGGATTATCTCCCATCATCACCTTTCAAGTTCTGTTTTGTTAACAAAAACAATTTATGATTACACTTTAGAGTTGCACAGACTGTGCTAAAAGAAAATTATGTACCAAGGTAACACAGTTCCATGCCAAGATGTCTCAATTCTGAAGTGTGCCAATAGATTTATTTCAAATATATAACATAAATGCACATTGATGGGAAAAGGCTAAGATAGCCACTAAAATCCTCACTACTGGAAATATTAAATAATCCCAATTCAAGCTCAGTATCTTTCACAATCTTCCAACGATTGTTAGAACTATCAGTATTAAGAAGTTTTAATAAAAGCACACAGCATCCATGTTTCTCAGAATTATAAGCTCTGTGCACAGTTCCCAAACACTGCATTTACACTGCACAAGCATTTATTCACACTTACTTGCTGTTTGCAAAGTGAATTAATATTCTCTGAAAATTGATATTGTCGGTCATAGAAGTGTCAGTATTTTAAAAGCAAGCTTATACGTGTATTTTTTCTATGCATTTTTTCCCAACTTGCTAATTTCCAAGTATAGTAGACTGATTTCCAGTATTCCTAGACAAAATGAACAAAAAATGAATGAATGTTTAGTCCAACATGGGTAATCAAGATATTGAGAGCCAGCATAGTGTACTTGTAAAAGTACTGGACTAGGGACACCTAGATTCTAGTCCATGTTCGGATGGATTTATTGCTGTGTTTCACATCCTAAATGACTTCACAAAGTTGTTGGGGAACATTAAGAAGGAACAGGTAGGATAAAAACTGAATGAATAAATACCAGAAAGCAATTTTTGAAGTTAGATCTTAATGCCTAAATCAAAAGTTTCTATTTCTATTTTCTAGTTCAGTCCAGATAGCCACCACTTCTCAATCCTGTATTTCATTTATACTCCTTCCATGGACAGAGAATCAAGAGAAACTGACCAATCTATGTGTACTATTGCTGCTTTCTGTAAATTTCTGCCCTTACTATTAAGAAAGAACTATTAAGCATGAGGAAGGAAATGTAGAGATAGCAGTGGCACTTTCAGGTAATAAAAGTACCAGATAAAACCAGATGCAGAGAATTAAAATGCAACATAAGTCTGTCAGAATACAGTATGATTTAGATTTATAATAAAATTTTGTCTCAGAAATTATGGAGCAACACACAAAGATGTTTTACCACTGAATCAAATCTAAAGTAAGCAGCAACAAAATCTGCAGATAAAAAGATCATCAGAAAAGTTTAAGACAGAAAACGTAAGCAATCCTGTTTGTATTTAACAAGCTAAAACATTTTGGTTTAATAAAACATTGTGAGAATTAGATGGATAAAAGTACATATACGAAATCCTTTCTTATTCTTCTCCCTTCAGAAGACCAACAAATCAAGAAAAATGCTTTGTATAATGTTAAATGTGGATAGAATGCTTAGGCATATCTAAATAACCAGATGTTTAAACTACCCTAGACAAAGATTTGTTGGTGGTTTATGAATCCAAGCATGTTTGGGCACCCTTAACTCTATATTGAAATGAATCCATCTTCCCCTAGGTTTTCCCATTTACACATAAAGTAAACTGAAAAAAGGAATCAGTATAGTCTGTTTATCATGTTTATCTTGCTGGTCTGGCTGCAATCTTTGATAAAAAGGGAAGGAAGGAAGGAAGGAAGGAAGGAAGGAAGGAAGGAAGGAAGGAAGGAAGGAAGGAAGGAAGGAAGGAAGGAAGGAAGGCTCCCTTAAAGAAGAGTGCTCAAATGTGAATGATTCATATTTGAATCTGCAAATGATTAGAGACAGCTTTTTCAGTAGTGGCTAGCATTTTAAAATCAAATACATTTTAAAGAATTGACAAGTGATAATTATAAAGGATTATTAAAACCTGCATGGTAAATAAATACACTATCTTTCAAATATTTATTCTCTGGATGATTCTCAGTCATCCAAGTCATTGTTATCCCAAATATGCTTTTCCACCAGGCAACTGGACTTTCTTGTTCAGTTGCCTAATGAAAAAGCACCTTTTGGATAACTATCCTTCAAAGATGCTGTTAAACATAGCTGATTCCTTATGGCATTGAAGCAGTATTATCAGGTGAACAAGAAGAAATATGTGCTTCATAATTAAATCTGAGAAACATCTGCCATGTTTCTTCTCTTCAACAGCTATAGTTTAATACATTATTATGTACTCAAGCACAGTGTTTATGACAAAATATTTTTTGTCATAAACATACAAGTTTCCTGTATGTTACATTTGCTTCTATTAAAATAGAATTAAAGTGCTTAGAAAAGGGAGGGACACCTTATCCAGGCATCAGGCTTCAACTATCAGATAGGTGTTAATAACACAGATTTCTAAAAGCAATGTCCTTAAGACTCAAGTCCTCTAAGATATCGAAAATGGAAAACAACAGCTACTGCAGTACTGT